ATGATGAGGAGAAAGAGATCATCTTGACACTATTTTTACCAATTTCTCCATATGCAAATTGTATGTACCATCATTTATTAGTTCAGTTATTACGAATTGTGCATGCACTTTCTGTCTTTTTCCATAAAAAACATTTAAAATGTACACATGCATTTTGTTTGTTTATTCATTAACTTTGTGAATAATACCTTCCTAGTGATCACTAATCTACAGGCCCGTAGCCAGGGGGGGTTCGGGGGGTTCGGACGAACCCCCTATTGTAGCTGCAAAAAAGTTTTAGATTAGCTCCTGTCATGAAGAACAGCACTGCAAAAGAAAGATTAGCATTTTGGCAACAGCGAGAAGCACAGATAAGCCATTTTAGCTGAGTCAGCACATGGCTGAGATGCGTAAATTGATATCACGCCTACCAACCACGCCCATTTTCGTCAAAATTTTCGCTGCGCGCTTCGCGCGCAGCAATTTCCGAACCCTCTATTTTAAGTTCCTGGCTACGGCCCTGATCTACCTTCTATTTCTCCTCCCATTTCTCTTTTCCTTTATCCCAACGTACCCATTTTCTCTTCCTTTTCTCCTTTCCCTCTCCTCCCTCCATCTCTCCTCTCTCTCTATCTCTCTATAGTCCTTACAATAGCAGTTGCTAATAAACATCGAGTTAATACACTACCAACTGATCATATTAAGATATTCTTCAGTACATGGCCTGATTCATCACCAGGCATTACTTATCATTATCATTGGAGGAGATTGTTTGGTCCTAAGAAGGGAAACCTCAATGGAGTCAATGATAAAACCATCTCATTGAGTCACGTATGTTATAGGGAGGGAGGGAATTAAGAGACTAGAATACATGTACAATGTATGTGTATGTACATGTATGCCACTGTCATAAATGTTTAGTACTTTGCATGCCAGTCATGTGTTCTTCTTGAAATTATTATTGCTAAATTTACAAAACAAGGATATTATGTATAAGCAGTGGTTGTTTCATATGAATAAAATAGGAATGATTTGTGGGCTATGACCCCAGGCTTATCTTATTAAATATTGTGAGTATCATATGTGTAAGTACATAAAAGATATCTTTAAAGTTCAGCCTCTCATCATCATTATGCTTCTAGCAGTTTATCATAAGTTGATCAAATGGTTCAGGACAATCTCTTGGTATGTACATGTATATATGATCACCTTCTGATACTTATTCATGTACTTCTTTATTGGTCATGCCAGGATATGGTTCTTTTCCTTCGGTAACCAGTTCACATAGTAATATACCAAATGACCAAACATCAGATTTAATACTTAGTTGGTTTAAAGTGTATCCTTCAGGTGCTGTCCATCTTGTAGCTAGCTCAATACCTTCCTCAAGGAATATGCCTATGTTGCTTAATTTCGATCACGTGTTCACAAAATTATTGAATAAAACAACAAATCATTAATGAGAGTTAAAATAGGAATAAATACCTTAGGCTGCAAGAACTTTATATCAATACATTTTATTAAGTATTATGAATATCATATGTGATAAGTACATCAAAGATATCCTTAAATTTGGGCCTCTCATCATCATTATGTTTCCAACAGTTTATCATAAGTTGATCAAATGGTTCAGGACAGTCTCGGGGTATGAACATATGACAGCCTTTTGAAACTGCTTCCTTTACTTCTTTATCTGTCATATAAGGATTTAGTTCCTTTCCTTTGGTAACCAGTTCCCATAGTAATATACCAAATGACCAAACATCAGATTTAATACTCAGTCGGTTTAAAGTGTATCCTTCAGGTGGTGTCCATCTTATAGCTAGCTTAGTACCTTCCTCAACAGTCCAGTATTTATTGCCATTGAGGTGTTGAGCAAGATGAAAGTTTGCTATCTTGACAGTGTTATGCTCTCCTAATAGTATATTGATAGCTCTTAGATCACAATGAATGTAATCTTGTTCTCCTAGATAAATCATACCATCAGTAACTTGAATAGCAATATCTACCGACTCTGCTGGTATAGTTTTACTTGTAATTAGGTAATCTTTGAGATTTCGATTTATTATCGGTCCTGTTACAATATAAAAGGGATAGCTTTCAGTGCAAACACCATATAAACTGATGACATTAATATGATGAAGTTTTGCCAATATGCTGGCCTCTTTAATGAATGTTTTTTGTGTAATATCTGTTGCTATATTTGTCTTAATCATAATTGACCCTTTACCTTTACAATCACCCTTCCATGTCTCTCCAATTTGTCCTACACTTATGCATTGTTCAAACTTGATTGATGACTTATTAATTTCCCACTCTTTATTCATTGCAATGGGCCTGTTTACTTGTTTGGGTATAGGAACTGTTAATGAGCATTTCAGACCATCAGCTTTCATCATGTAGTGATGTACCAGGTCATTGAGTGAGTCAAACTGGACATGAGGAAATAAATAATACTTGTCGTTCTCAATGCTTATATGATAGTTCCAGATAGTAAATCCATCAATAAGGGAGAGGGTATACTGTCCAGGTTTGCTTTCACTATCTCTCATTAAGAAAGTACCCACTTGAGTGATTGTTTGGCTCAGTCTTTTTTTTGCTTCATCACGACTCACCTTGTGATAGTAGATGTATTTGTAGTACCTATTGTTAATAAATAAAAAAATCCTTTAATCCTTTGTTATAATTTCTTACATTAGTGAGTATCCTCCTTTTATTGGTATTATATAATTAATTGGTACATATCCTTCTTTGTCTGTACGAAGTGAATGCATATACCACCATTCATTATCTTCATCATATTTAACAACTTTAAGAACTTCTCCTATAAAAGTACATTATTATGTAATAATTATTTTTTTATTGTTGCCAAACCTTTCTTTAAAGTTAATTCATCTGAATTTTGTCCTTCAAAATTATAATTAGCCTTGAATACTGTATATAGAACAAGTTTTATTAAACAAGCATGCACCATACATGTTTATTTACATTTATCTTTTGCAATTAATTCCCTCAATGATTGTAGTATAGTAAGATCATCAGTAATTTCTAGTATAAAATATTCAGCTTTTTCACCATCATCAAGGAGAGCAGGTAGGAGGGATAATCCTTTCTTTGTCACTGCAAACTGAAACAAGTAAAGTAATTCTACTCTTGAGTATCCAATGTATTTTATTCGAACAGCACTCTTCTGTCCAGTCTCCAGTGATTGTACCTCATGTCCATTTGTACTTAACTGAAGTAGATCACCCTTTTTGAATGAAATAACTAGTCCATTATAATCATCTTGAGCTTCACAGATAGACCCATTGGATGATAGCACTGTCTGTGTGGATTTCATTTCTTTATCTATTAATGTTTGATTAGAATATTAATAAAGATATGCTTACTGTAAAGTCGTATTTTAATCAGCTCTACACTAGTAGACGATATACTTTCCCGTAGTTCCTCAATTTCTTTTTCATTGTCTTGTAGTACTTCCTTTTGACCTATTTTAAAGTACATGTATTATGTCATTAGAAGCTAATGAAACATGTATATACTTATTCTGATCCTTAGAGTAGATTGTAAATGTTCATTTTCTCTTAATAACATTTGCTTTTTTGTGCTTGCAGCTTTTTCTCTTTCAATTTGTTTGACTTTAGAATTAAACCCTTTTAATTTAATAATAATTATAATAAAGTTTTGTTGCTATTATATTTATGCTATACCTGATGCCTGCATGCTACTATTGATGAATTCTAAAATCGTAAAAATAAATAATTAACATGGTTAATGTAATATCCCCATACCTTGTTTCTGTTTTAAACTTATAAGTTGTGCTGCTTGACTAACAAGAAGACCTGTGTATACATACATTGATTTGATTTTATAAACAGAATACTTCATCTCATACTTTCTTTGTCATTGTGGTATAGATTCATCTTTACTGATTCTCCTTCACACATTTCAATTTCCTCTGTAATAATCTTTAGTTCCTATTATATATAAGTTAAAGTTTCAAAATAAATTAATATCTGGTATACTTTGTTTCTGATGGTCCTATCAAAGACAGTGCAGTGTCCTATTTTCAATCTCATCAAAGAAAATTCTTCTTGCAGCACAGTAAGATTATCACGAGCCCTCAATTGCAAAGCATTCATTAGATGAGTAGGAGCACCACAAATGATAATGATGGAGTTCCCTTTATGCATGCTTTTGACTATGATCCTTCTGCTCAATCCTTTGAATGCTTTCTCCATTAAACGACGAATATCATTCAATAAGTGCTCAGCAGGATCCCAGTCTAGAACAAACTCAATTGTTTCACAAACAAGAAAATCGCTTGTTGAAAGCTTCTTATCGAGCAAGAATTGAAGCTTGAAAGTGTGACAGAACTCATCAAGTGTTTTATTATAATCAGATATCAATGGCTTAGCTTCTGTTATGCTGTAAAAGCTGACCACTTCCTTTACTGGTGCGATATTGATGACATTGCATTTGGTTTTAATAACTTTCATGACATCTTTCACTGAAGCAGCAGAGGTTAGATTAGGACCTAGCTCAGGATAGCAATCATCAAGAAATTCTATGAAATCTTCAAGTTGGTTCACTCTGATGGTGTGAGATACCAGTCGAGTGACTTTAAAATAGAAGGTTCCAAATTTTCCTCTCATTTCATCAAAATTATAATGCTCTGAAATTTGAAACTCAAATTCTATAAGATAATAATATAATTATAGCCAGAATAACTAGCTGGCTTTACTTGTGACTGTAACACTTGACTCTTCAACTATATTAGATATAATTTTTGCTTGTTAATTATTTTTTGGTAAATTAAAATTACCTGAAA